TATCCGTATTTACATTACCTACCTTTTACTTGGGTCAATTCTCGTAACTCGAGTACACCTCTGCCTATGGTCTTTACCTGAATCTAGTCCGATAAAGGACATTTTCTTGCGAAATCTTACTGTTTTTACTTTCAACAAACACATAAAATTACCTATTATTCACACACACTTCACAATCGAATAATATAGGTACTTGTACTAGAAACTGATAAACAAATACACTATTTGAAAAACCTACACATATATTTAACTACTACTACACATTTATGCAACTTTATGTTTAAAACTAATTCCTAATAATTTAAACGAAAACATAAACAAAGCGATCGCACATCACATGAAAACAATATGGCCGAAAACATTGGAAACGAATTGAAGTCATTACCAATAGTCAATTGAGTGTTTATTATAAAAAAATGTAGCTTAAAAATTAAGGTAATGCAGCGTTTAATTTAAAAAAAACAAAGGTTAATTTAGTAAGTCAAATGAAATTGCATCATCGTCTTAAACCAATATTTCATACTAAAAAACATTCATTCATATAATTTGAAACGTTGTAAATGGCGCCATCTTGAAGTTTCAATAACTTCCTTTTAACTTTTATAATAATAAAGTCAACTCCTCGTTTAAAATTTCTATAAACCGACAACGCGTAAAAATGTTAAGCTTTAATTAAAACACTTGAAACATATTTGTTAAATACGCATTTATAAAAATACATTCGCATTATATCGAACGAGTTCAGAAGTTTCAACAAAAAATTCAATAGATGGCGCTGATGTACTCCATTCATCAGTACTTTACGATATACAGATTTTATCAATTTAAAACCTTTTATAATTTAATTGTTTTTAAAAATACAATAACTTGTTGCTGTTTTATTGTTTTAGAATTCTTAATAAAATACGATCGTTTTCCAAGTGATGAACGAACGGTCCTCTAATTTTTTAGTTGCAAACATTTTGTCAATCAACAGGAATCGTGTAATATAATTATGAATGGTTATTCTGTACCGTGACTATGGTCGTGAACTTCACGCATGCGCGGTGCATACTTTTGGTACATTTCTTTTGTGACGTCACTACTACCAACCAAGATTTAAGGAATAGTGGCGCATGCGTGGTGCGTGCGGGGCGCATTCATTACTTTACAAAGGCGCGTATTTATGTTAGCCGTTTTTTTACAAACTTTTATTATATTATTGAATTTTAATAAACGCGTTTGTACATTTTATGTATGTTATATATTCACGATATTTATAGGTAGGCAAAGCCTTTTCGCCTATATGGACTGCACGCCACTG